CTTTACAGGGTCTCAGTCTGACTCAATGCTGGCTGTTGCCTTTACAGGGTCTCAGTCTGACTCATCCTTTTGAGTTTTAAAATACGGTAGAGACACAGGAATGATGAGACATTAAAATCCAGAATCCAGTTTTCCATTCTAAATTGAATTACATAATCACTGTCCTGCATCAGGGTTGGACTGCTTTTTTATGGTGTTAAGTTTTTGCTTTGACTTACTCTATTTAGCTACTTTGGCATAAATGTAGTAATTCAGGGGAGAATTAGACTATTAAATATTGAAGAAAATGTCCTCACTTCAGCCTGAAACTTAGTATATTGATTTTTGTGCCAGATTAAAATTGGTGGGGAAATGTTGAGAATAATCAGTAAACCATTTTAAAATTTATTTTCTTGAAATATTGCCTGTTTCCCATGGCTTTGAAGCAGTTATAACTTTGTTCATAATTCAAAAATGACCGTGTGCTAAAATTTAATTTCAAAGATATATATGTCCTTGCAGAAAAGTTGCTCATGGCTCTAGGTTTATTCTTGAAATGCACATATCTTTTAGTCACTTACAGTATGAGTTGTGTTTTTGAGGTGGGTTTTTTTTTGTTTTTGTTTTTTTGGAACATGATCAGCCCCTGTAGTGATATGGACTGCACCTAGCAGCTTGGGGATGGTGTCACTCCCGTGAGGCCAGGAGTGAATGCTGTAGTCTGATGACGTTTTGGTGGAGCTTTTTAATTTCATGATGGAAGAAGAAGGGTCAGTTTAAGAACAGATGGGAAGGTTGACAAAATCTGGGAAAGAGGCTCAGCCCTGGGAACTACGTCTTCCCTAGGAAAGGTCTGCCAGGAACCCACAGGAACTGTGGGTTTGCCAGGTTAAGAAATAGCTGCCTGTTAGCATGAAGCATCAGCTCTGCTTTTGTAATTAATATGTCTAGACTTCAGGTTCTGAATGTTTTGAGCTAAGTGCCACAGGTAGCTGCCAAGGTGAAGGAGATCAGCCTCCTGGGTAAACATTAACTGCAAACAAACAAGCTACTCCTGCTAAATTTATATCGCAATATTTATGTGTGTGGGGAGGTAGAAGGAAAATGAGTGTGTATGTGGGTGTTGCAAAGCCCTCACAATTCAGAGAATAATGAACTAAGTCTTTGGACTGGAAAATTATATTGGAAAGTCTGGAAAAGCAAAGACAAGATTGCAGGGTGCTGCAAATGATAAGTTCAGAAACTGTGGGCAGGTCTCTGTATACATGTGGTAGCACCTTCCTCTGTCATGCTGGTACAGGTGGCTGGGTCACAGCCCCCTTCCTTTTCCAGAATATAAACTGATGCCAAGAACAGCAATCTCACCCTTAGTTTATCTCCCTGTGTCTTTAACAGCCTCAAAGATGCCAGCTGTGAGGAGGATGGTGATCTTGTAACAGAATAACAGAACCCTTCCAGAATCTACCCTTCATGATGCAGCAATTTTGTGGTTTCTGAAAAGGTCAAGCAGCATCATTAATGCACACCATGTAATTCCTCTGTGAAGGTGCAGTGCTTCGTTTGTGGAAAAGGACATCTTCCTCTGAATGCAAATTTGGGTTTTCCCAAACTGAAGGACAGGATATGTTGGTGTGCTGTTGCCACATTGTTCATCATGGAGATGAGACCTTTTTATTTGAGTTGCTCCAAAACGTGATATCTGAGGGAGGCAAAGCAAGTCAGGAATAGTGTGCTTTAAAAAAAAAATAAATAAAAAGGAAAGAAAAGGAGATTTATCAATACCTAAAACTTTAGGCTTTTTATATGATTTCTTTCAGCCTAGCCTGAGACAACATAACTCTTTGGACTTTGTAGGAGATTAAATCCAGCCCCAGGTTTTTCAGGTAAAATTATTGCTCTGCTCCTAGGTTGTCCCCTGAGCCATCTCTGTCTATTTCTAATTAAGGACTAAAGGAAATGGTTCCTCCTGATGGCAGGAGTAGCATGAAGAAAGCTGTGAGTGTTTCTGTGTGGAGGCTGGTGCCATCACCACCCTCCCCTCAGGAACCAGCATGCCTGGGCTCTCCTCTGCAGGCTGGTCTCACAGGGATCCACACTTACCTTGGGCATGGCCAAACGCTGGGGACCATCCAGGTGATCTGCCAAAATGTACCACAACAGATCAAAATTCTTTAAAGTACCTACTCTGAGATGTTTAGCAATCCACTGGAAATCTGATCTGGCAAATATCTGGGACTGAAATTGCTCTGCGTATCCTGGAAGAAGCTGAGAAGGTAGGGGTGCTGTGACCAGGGTGGTGGTGGTGGTGTGCTGAAAGCTCTTTGAGCCTGAGACACTGTCATTTAAGCACGATTTGTTGATATATCCAGTATGTGTCTTGGCAGATCTTAGGGCTGAGATAAATCAAAAAAAGCAATGTGCCAAACTTGAGATAATTTAATTTCTATAATGCAACCTTTATTCATATATAATTTTGCAAGTGTTTGACTTGTTGCTCATGTTCTGGTTCATGTCCTTTAAGCATGAATTTGAAACAGATGCAACTTTTTGAAAAATAGCAGTATAGCATTTAAAAACGGTTTAAATTCAACCTTTTGGAACTTGACCTGTATGAAATAAATATAAATGACACTGACTTTTGAGAGGTGAACATGTTCTTTGGAGCCAGGTCTTACAAAACAGAGCATGCATACTACACACACACACACACACATATATATATATATATGTATGTATTGCTCATATATGTACACATGCCCCAATGAGGAAAAAATCATGAGGTTTTCATGAGCTTGTTCTTCATGGCTTAGCTATTGAAACAAGACACACGTTAAACCATTAAAAGGTACCTCTGGGATTGTTTTAAATTGCAAATTAAAAAAAAATAAAGAAGAAATCTATTAAAAAGAATCATTTTCCATTAACTGAAGTGTTTGCAATAAAGGCAATTATAGCAGTTGGCAGTATTCTCCTTGAACCAAAACAAATAAATACATTTGGTGACATACGTTCAAGAAAATGTGATTGCTGCAATGTTCATGCAAATAAGGAGCAGCTTCACAAATGCTAGACATTTTGCCATCTGGAATTACCAAAGGAACACAACTCTCAACTTGTAGCTTTTCCTAACTTACTGCTTATAGATGGCGAATTAGGCATTGTCACACGGTTCTGACATTTGCATAATCATTCTGAATTACTGCAGGTTGTGCATTGCATTGCCAGCAGTGAACTCATTTGAGAATGGGGTTCAGAGACCTGATGACTTGTATGTCTTCATCAAATATATCTGTCCAATAAAGGGATAAAAATGTTCTCCCACTTTAGGAGTATCACACCAGTGAATTTTTAAATTAGTGTGAGGCCTAGTGAAGAATGTTGTACTTGTTTACTTCCTAGAAACTGGGTAGAGACCAGTATTATAATTAATCTCAGGGAAGCTGTTCATCTCTATTTGACTGCAGGCTAGAGTACAGATGCAGAGCATCTCACAGAGTCAAGAGATGCTGGATGGGGACATGTAGCTGAGGATGAAGTTATAACCTGATCTCTTAAAATTCCAGAAAAAGCCAACCTAGCAACAGCTATTAAGCGTGGCAGAAAGTCTGGTTTAGACGCAGGTGGTTGTTAACTGGCTGAGCTGATAGGAGTAGGCTCCCATGGCACAATGAAGACCTCTGCTCTCACAGCAGTCAATGACAAGAGCTCTGCCTCTGGTCTTAGCAGCATGTGCAGCAGGTGATCTCACTCCCAGGAACCCATGGGGAAGCCTTCATCATCCCCTTCTTTCTGCAGGAAGGCATTTTCCATGCCCAAAACTCCATTCCTATGATTGCCTCCTCATTACCTGCTTTTCAAGGAGAAGGTGTTGGTGTGAATAACATGCGTTGCTCATGAATAGTGTGGGGTAAAAACCAAAAACCCTCAACCACCTGTAAGTGATTGTGATGTGGTGTTTGGGTGCTGTCTCCAACCTGCTGTACTGAAAGGCTGTTTCACAATGATCCCCTGTGTCTGGGAGCTGTGCTCGGCCCCTGGCATCTGCCCTCAGACCCATCAGAAGGCTCCTCTGCAGTCCAGTTCCAGTTAGCAGCATCCACAAGCAAACAGAAGATTCTATGTTCATTTAGTGACTGTTGAGGCATTGTTTTTAAATACTAAGAGCATCTAACATATCCTGTGTATTTTCAGCTCTCTCAGGTCTGGAGTTAGAATCAGATAGCTGTTGGCCTTTTGACTGCCTTGCCTGAGGCATACTAGGTAGCATCACGTGGGTAGCCAATGCAACATATGTTTTGCTAACTGGGAAGCTGGTTAGCAAGACAATGTTTATCTTATTAACACATGGTGCACTTACATGACATTAATATATATTCCTGCTTTACAGATTTACTGTGCCAGAAGAAAATCATTAGCTGAGCTAAGCAAAATAGGAATCAGCATATTTGTCACATTGTCCTGAAATAACATGTGAACTTTGTTAGACATGTTGGCTTCCTTTGTGAGGAGCATAAAACATTATCAACTGAAATGTGTAAACCTGAAAGGTGGTGTTCTGTAGAAATTCAGAATAAGACTTCTGTGGTTTATGTTGTCATGTATTAAGCTAGAATTCTGGGAAAAAAAAAAAAAAGTTAATTTTTATTCTGAATGTTTATATTGGAGCTAAAGTTGTTAATTGCTAAAAATTACTGCTGTTGTGTAGTGCACTGATTTTATTCTCTCTCCAGCTACACCCTACTAGCTGTACATACACTGTTGTGCCACTATTCATTTATTCATGTTCTGTGGTTGTGATAGTGTCAAATCCATCAGAAAGAGGAATTGTTTCAGTAGTAGTTTCACGACTTGGCTGATTAGCAGAGATCAGAAGAAGCAACCTAACTGTGGAAACCACTACAGCATATAGTTTTAACAGCTCTTTAGGGAGCTAGTTAATGAAGAATCACTACAGAAACACATCCATGTGAAAAAAGGAGCATTTTCATACAACACTCAGAGGATATGTCATAAGTGGGAACATGTTCATAATTTCTATTTACTCACAGATGTAATTACCATCTGCCTTAAGAGAACTTCTAGTCTTTGTCAAAGTTGCTTAGATATTTCCTTTGTCTTGTTTCAAGCAGAGAAGTTCTGTACAGACTAGATCCTGCCATGTGATTTCTTTTTTATTTTTCTGTAAGAATTTAATTATCTATTCTCTGTGTGAAGAAAGTGCCAGCACTCCCGGAGACCTGAACCTCTCCAGCCTACTTGAACTGGCTGAAACTGATTCATGTTTGTGCTTATTTTTGCCATCTGTCTGCAAAACAGAGTTCTTAACTTTTAAATGCATGCTGGTTTATATGTTGCCCTCTAATTTTTAACTCTAAAAAAAACAATTTCTCTCTTTTTTTCTTTTTTTTTTTTTCCCTCTAACTCCAGTGTGTATGAGCCAGATAGAAACGTGCTGCGAAGGAAAGAATGGGAAAGGAGAAATCAGGAGGCCCAGCAGGACAATGGCGCATTTAACACAAGCTATTCCCTCTTCAGTGAACCCTACAAGGTAGATGCTTCCCAGCTGGGTCAATCTTTGTTTATTTATTTATTCCACAGTACAAAAATGTAGCCTGCAGAAGGCACTGTCCAGGTTTCATCACCCTCCTACGAGTGCTAACTTCCCAAAATTCACGGAGAACATGCATGATTCACTGAGAGTTGGATTTTATATATATTTATATTTATGTATGTGTAAAAAGCTTCTTCTAGTGTTCAGCAGCACACAAGAGTGCAATGAACTAGAAATATCCCAGCAATATTTGAGATAGAACTAAAACTAGGAGGTGAAGGTGAAGGTAACCTGTTTTTGCAATACTTAGAAGAAAACAATTGTGTAAGACAAGAGTGTGAAACTTAAGCAATACTGTAAACATTGTGCCCTGGTCAAGGTTAATGTACTGAAATCTTTTTTTCCCCTATAAGGATTACCAAGATAATAAGAAAATTTGTCTGCTATACATGTTTCTCCTCCACCAAAGGCAGAAGTAGCTTAGGAGTCTCAACTCCCTGTGTTGTTCCTCATGATAACAGCACTTTGATGAGGCACAACTGTCTTCCATCACTCCCTGTTAGAAGGTCAAGCAGGGCCTTCTACCCTCTGTAGAAGCTTGAAAATGGTGAACAGGACCAGAGAGCAGTGTCCCATGAGGGCTGCTCCTCTCCCTCAATTTAACCAATGAGTGCCTGTATGTATCAAACCATCATCATGTATTTTCTGCTGTTCCTTTCCAGAAATGTCCAAGTTACTGTAACAGCTACCACATTGTGAAGCCTTTCCCTCCATGCAGCATCACTTGCCCTTGGTGCTTAGGGTGCTTTAGTGCCTCTTTCCAGGAAACCTATTTGGGACCTGGCACCTGGCTTCTGCTTTGACTTCCATGCTTGTGTTTTAATTCTTGTGCTCCAGGGTCAGCTTTTAGATTGCCCTTCTTCCAGATTGTTGCTTGTATTTAGTCCCTAATAAAAAAGAAAGATCTACCACTTTCAAACCATGTCCCTTGAAGGAACACAGCTCTGTCTGCCTTGCAGCTGACCTCCAGCTGCCTGGATTTCAGATTCATTACAAAGACGTTTAGAAACCATGTCAAATGTCTTGAACTCCTCAATGACATACTTGAAAATGTCTACCATGAGAGCAGTCAAGGGCTAATCCATGGAAGAAGGACTGGAAAGCCTAAGTCAGCTGTGTCTTGGCATCTCTTCAGGGCTGTGCTCTAGTGAAGACTTAAGGATTTTCCATTTGGTCCAGTCAAATAGACCACACACAAAAAGAACTTGGCGTTTTGTTGGGTCCCCAGTACTGTTTTGTCTGTGGTGCCTCTGGTTGGTGATACTGAAGCTCAAATCACTTACAGAAGTTCTGTCACTTCCATTATTACTTCTGTGCCAGTGTACTGCTTGTCATGATACAGACATGATGTGCCATGGACACACCAGTAGTGTCTGAGTTAGGATGTCAGAAGACACCTCTGTGCAACCACATTATAATTCCATTAGCTTTAGTAGGAGTGGCTGAAAAATCATTGCTGTCTCTAGAAGCGAAAAGGATACTGAGTGGATAATCCCATGAGGCAGCCAGAATAATGGCTCCATTCCTGCTTCTTACCTTTAAACACACTGTGTCCCTATTTTGAACAAACATGTAAAGAGGGTGCTGCAGAAATGCATCCTGCTGCTAACTTTGTCAAGGAAACATGGGGAAAGGCAAAGTCCAGGACAGCAGTATAACTCACAGCTGTGTTAGTGTGACAGAGTTGCTTGGGGTGATCAGTCATTCTGATAGTATTGAACATCAAAACTTTTATCAGTGGCATACTCTGAATGTCATGTGTACACTGGCAATGGACCATTGGGCTCTCTGAACTCAGCCAAGCTTTTGTGAACCTTCAGTGTGGGGGGGAAAAAGCTGTGGCTTGGGCATTTTGATCTTACTGTGGAGAGAGCCTAACTGCAAAAGAGGAAACCTTTCTGCAAAAGCAGAACTGAAACCCACTTGTAGTCCCTTTAAAGATCATGTTCACCTTCTAGGGGTTTCCAGAGGGGAATGAAGTTATAACATATATTCACTGCAAGCTCTGATTAAATTCAGTATTCCTCTGTGCAGCTTGAGAAACACGAGCTAAAGCCAAAGGATATGCCATTCAGAAGACCATATCTGAAAATCAAAGGCAAACTGGAAATCTCTTAAATCTTATGTCCTCTCTCACCTTGACATGTATCACTCCTACTGTAACATTGAATTTTCTCAAAACTCCTGACTCTTCAGGTTGCCCCTTATCCTGTTCAAAGTATCCATAGCAACCCTCTATGAAGGATTACAGGAAATCCAGTATCTTTTACATAAAATCTCTTTTACAGGGGAGTGGAAAAGCAGGAAATTAGTTCTGGATATTTTCTGGACAGAATATCTTGCCCCATTAACTATGTAAGTATTTTTAGTGAAGAAAAAATTCTGATGGCCTTCCATGCAGCCATCAGGTTTATTTTTAGAAGTGCTATATGTTGCCATCTTCAACTGCTTGGATTTGTCTTGCATTGCAGAAGAATATCGGAGCACCGTAAGTCAGACATGTTTGCACAGAATGCTTCTTCTCCTTACACATTTTGTGATCATGTTTTCCCTGTGGGAATACTTAAATAAGGCCAGCAATATTTCAAATAAGATAATAGGACAAACTAAAGCTCATAACAAGTTATTTCAGATCCCATCATGTTCCCAAGAGGATGTAGGTGAACTCCCCTGTATGAGATCAGCTCAATGCAAAATCTCACCTGAAGCTATCCCTAGTGCATCTTGAAGGAATAAACAGAACAGACCAGTTGTTAGCCTATGCCAGGATACCAGTTTGCAGTAACTGCAAGTTATTCTTGTGGCTATCTGGGATCTCTCAATACAAGATGTTGACGTGTGACCTTCACATCACATCCATGTGGAAGAAAACCTGATGACTTCTCTGAGCTATAGATGGTCTACATTTAATCTGTAATTAGGCTTTTGTTTCCTTTCATCCACAGAGCAGCCATCAGAAAAAAACAGACCTTCTTATAGGGAAGCTGGACATCTTAAGGGCCAAACCTGCACACCAATTTTTAACGTTTAATGGAGCTAGAGGCAGACAGGTGAAGACCTGTCCTCACAAGATGTCTGTGCTATGGGAGACTTGTGGGTGTCAGGGGCCCCATTCCATTTGGTGGTCATTGTTGCAGGGAAAGAAACACTCTGGATGAATAATAATGAGTACAGGCCCAACAGCAGATTTCTTGTCATTGAGGGAAGCTGAAAAAAACACTTCTCTACAAGCTGTCTACACAAGGTGGAGGATTCAGTGAAGCATAAAGAGATGCACTGGGTAAAAGGAAATTGTCCTGTATGTTCTGGAACAGAGTTCTGCTGGCCAAGGAGATGCTCAAGTGTAGAAATTATTTCATTGACTTCAGGAGACATAGGAGTGTATCTCGAGCCTTCTTTCTTTTCAGATGTATGCGATGCCTCCCATATCATTAGCCTCATTAATAGTTTCCTCTTCTTTAGGACATTGATGTGATTCCTGTTAAGTGAAGGAACACCTTTTTTTTAAAGTGGTTTGCTATCTGTGAGTCAATGCTTCAGACTTTTTTCCAGGTTATTATCTTTGTGACAGTAACAGCCTCATGTGCAGAGGGAAGATCAGCCTGTAGTGGTTGAGCCTTGAGCCATCTTACTCCAAGTTTTCAGTGTAATGCTTCAGATGTGAGACTTTCATGTCTTCCTACCCCCTTCGGTGTATGTTACTGATATAGATATTTAGCTCTGTTAGCACAGTAACAAAAACATATCAGAAAGCTAGGTGCAATGCATTTTACAGGTACAAGGTAGTGTCCTTGAAATTTGAGGGGAAACATTTGAAGCAAAACAGGACTGCTTCTACTGTTAGACATATGAATGCTTCCACTGTAGACCTCTAAAAGTTTGCATGTGGAAATCATAGCACTCATTTACTGTACATTTTTGCCTGGGTTCAGGTTTTTCTACCAGGAAACCCCCCAAAAAAAAGATTCCAAACTGGGGAGTTTCCCTTGAATATCTTCCCTTACATACCCCAGTTTTCCAGAGTTTTCCAGATGTGGTTGCCACATCTTTCGTGTTTTTAAATGGAACTTTAAGAGGATCTTCTCCACTTCCTTTACTCTCTTCTTTCTCCTTCTTTCTGTTTTCCTCTAAAGCAGAGAGTCTTGAGATGAAAGCTTGGCCTTCTGAAACCAATAGGAGTTTTCCCATTCAGACTCCATGTCTGGAAAAGAGAAAGGAGAACTCCACTGCCTCATTACTGTCATCCTCTGAAAATGTAAAGCAAAGGACATCACACGCCTGCATCTTGGCAGGGTTCAAAAAATCTCTGCTGTAAAAATGCTAATGATACACCCTTTCGCTTACAGTGGCTTTTTACAGCAAGAATTTTCAATGTTTTCCAGTATGTTTTATTTGCTTGTTTTATTTCTTTGTGAAGCTTCTGCCTTTTCAGTCAGGAAGTAAATGGATCATTTTTAAGACAGTAATTAATCTTAAAGGGGAGGAAGGGTGGCTGTATTCCCCCTGCTATGCACAGCAAGCACTGAGAAATGTGAAGAATTTGGCGAGGGCTCTGTTCACCTTTTTTTTTTTTTTTTTTTTTTTTCTTTCAAGAGGAGAGTGCCCTGGAATGAGCACCCTGTCAGAGCATTTTCAAAGAAGGGACATAATCTGTACTTTTCCCATTTCCCACAAGCTGTTTTCAAGTCACCTCAGAGCATTTGGCTGGCTTAGACTGACAAATTCATTCAGTGCTTGCATGGGATGTTGTGTGGCTTCCCAGATGGTTATGAAAACTTAGGCAGGCAGAGGAAGAAATTTGGAATGCAGTGTTTTCATTCATGACTGAAGGAGAGCTTGCATTGGCCTACAGGAAAAGTTTTATCATGGTCAGATTTAATCCAAACCACTCTGTGCAGTTGCAATAATAAATTTTCCAGTTTCCAGGTAATATACTTTAACTACAGCGTGATATCAGTGATAGATTTCTTTTTTTATATACTCTAAGGCCCTTTATAGCTTTTCCAGTTCAGGGTAGATTTAAGATGTTGACAAGTGTCTTCAGAGACAATAAGGATTTTCGATTTCATCCCTCAACGCTGCTGCTGAATAAGACAGTCTTACTTCAGTAAGGATTTCAGCAGAAGCATGCAGGGAATCTTGTTTTTCTTATGTTGACTGTAGCAGAACACTCAATTTTTGTTTTGCAGACGAACAAGGGGGATGAGCTTTCCAATCGCATCCAGAATACGTTGGGCAACTATGATGAAATGAAAGACTTGTTAACTGACCGGTCAAACCAGAGCCATCTCGTTGGGGTTCCGAAACCTGGGGTTCCTCAGACATCCCTCCCCAAGACTGATGAACATCTTATCGCAGACTCGAGACCACCACCTCCTCCTCCGATTTCCAGCACTACTTCTTCCACACCAGCATCCCTAGCTGCCCAGCAGAGCAAAAGTACCACGATGGGCTGGCAGAAGGCTGGGCATAATGCCGCTTCAGATGGCCAGCAGAGAGCAAGCAAACACGGACACCGGTCGCTGGAGTCACACAAGGGTGACTTCAAACTGGCGAACCAAAAATCCAATTTGGAGAAACTAAAACGCTATGCATCGAGTCCCACCTCCTCTTCTTCTTCCTCCTCTTCTTCCTCCTCTTCCACCTCCTCTTCCACCTCCTCTTCCACCTCCTCTTCCTCCTCCTCCTCCTCCAATACTGCCCAGCAAAGCTCGCTGAGGTCCACATTAGGAGACAACATCAACAGAGGCCAGCAGCCAGCAAAGCTCAGTTGTAGCTCAGAAGGAGGAACTCAAGTCCAAGAGAGACCAGCAAAGCACGGTGGGGGACACTGTGTCCAAAACTTCCCACCTTCTCTTGCTTCAAAGCCCAGTCTGGGTCAGCAGAAGCCAACAGCTTATGTGAGGCCAATGGACGGTCAAGACCAGGCTCCTGATGAGTCTCCAAAGCTGAAGTTACCAGCAGAGACGACCAAGACATATCGGGGAGTGCCTTCCAGCAAGCCTGATTCAGCCAGGACCAAGTCAAAGATCGCCAAGTTCAGCATTCCTAAGCAAGCAGAAGTAAGTGTTTTTATATTTCTTATGACACACCCCCACACATGGATGGATGGATGGATGGATGGATGGATGGATGGATGGATGGATGGATGGATGATCCTATTGCACCTGCTTCTTTAGATATTTTTAACATACTGGTTTGTATGTTGACTTTTTTGGTAACATTGATATAGTACGTTGCAAATAGCAGCCTCACAGTAATTTAAAGATACCTCAACAGCAAAATGCTTATTGTCTTCAGGACCAAATACTTCCTACAGTAGCACATTTTCTAATAGTGTATATTATTTCACTGACTCTTTCCTGAGTGTTCATCTATAAAGCCTGGATGTTTTTTTTTCTAGGCAGGTGTATTGCTTCTTACTGTTCATATTTCATTGATTTCTTTCTCTTTGTCAAAGATTAAATGAAGTGAATGTGACCAGAAATAGTTCTGCCATCCTCAATGTCAAAGTAGTTTTACAATCTAAATAAATTACTTACACAATATGAAATCTGCAGAAGAGATGAGAACACAGCTATGAGACTTTCCTTTTAGTTAATAGTATCTGTTTGTTTCATTTCTGAGACTGAGGTTTCCTTCTTAAAAAAATTCCATCTGTAGAAACCTGGTGTAGTGGGTTGACCCAATATATCTGGCCATGCTACCAAGTACAAGAAGGTGTCTGGAAAAGCTTTTAGACAATATTTATTTATTAGCAATAGATATAAAATATATATCTTGGACTTATTGTAAATTCATTTATTTCACATTCCTTTTATGCCAGGAGGACACTTTGCTTTACCACTTTGACTGTGATTGTCTGTTTTTGTCTTTTTTGATGAGAAGGAAGTGATTAGTTTTGGCAAAATAAAGGGTGGGTTTTTTTCCAAGGGTGTATTCAAATGCCTGTATGCCAGTACAAAGATGGTCACATCATCCCTTGTGGAAATTGATAGATCTCCTATGACTTTAAAAATTATAGTATTTATAGGACTATAGGACTCTATTTGACTGAATCACTGTGACTTTCTCAGACAAGAGGCAATGACTGTTTACTTTTTTTTGACAGCTGTGATGTGTCTTGAGATGTTTTAAGTCTTAATTTTTTTTTTAGGCATTGTTAAAGGACAGGAAAAATCTAATTTTTGGTGGAGTTCTCTGGCCTCTTAATGTCTGCTTTTCAGAAATGGAGTTGACTCTTGTATTCCCCTTGGGTTTGGTTTGGGAAAGAAATCTCTCTGGAAGCAATTATTTCTGTGATTTTTCTCCAAGTGAAAGTTCCATAAGTTCCAAACACCATGTAGGTGATAGGTTGTTCCTAAAAAGGGGTTGTTTTAGGCTCTTAAGCCAGATCTTATAAGCAAATATAGCATTCACAAACTGCTGTAATTGTGCAGATAGATCAGGTAACGGCAGATAGTAATATCCATTTAGCTATTATTACCTCTTTCAGATTTGTGCTTCTATCTGCAAATGGGAAGTGTTGTTAGAATTAAGGATGCCTGTGGCAATTATCTGACTCTTTCAAATTTCCCCCCTTTACATGTATGCAATACTCTAAGGACTAGTATGGGAAGGAGTTCTGATAGGCAATCATTTGTTTGTCTGAAATTCAGAATTTTCCATCTGCATTCCAAATATGTCTACCTCTGAAAAGAAAGATTTAATTTGTTGTATGTAATCTGTGCTGCTGCATAAGTTTATACTGCAGTTTCTAGATGAGGAGACATAGCTGAGATCACCTTAAACTAACTTGTTTAGATACTAATGGCAATGTAAACTATAGTAGGAGAGAGTGGACTGCAAGATAGGTACTAAAATATTCACCAATTTCTCACAGATTTTGTGCGATGCCGTATTAATGAAACAGTCAGTATTTGATAACAGAATATAAACATTCAACTGAAGTTGAAGGAGGTGGACCAAAAGCAGTGTCTGGTGGTTTCAAAAAGATTATTATGAAAAATGATGGACAAACTTCTAGGAAGAGAAATAGTAGGTGCTATAGATGTTGGAGTTTGAAACTGGAGCTAATGAAAGTTAATGTTTAGATCTGAAAAATCAATGAAAGACAATGGACCAGCTGTTTTTCATTTATCCTGATATTTTCTTTGTTCTTTTTCCATCCCAAGTGGCACAAGCTGAAACTTGTAACCCACTGGTATTGCTACAGGGAGAAATATTAACCAAGACTGAAGGTTTTTTATTCAGTGTTGCTTAATCTACCCGCCCTTTGATTTTCAGTTAGACTTCTTTAATTTCAAAATATTTTTTCCATTCCTATTATTTCTATCATAAGTCTTCTAGTAGAATTGTGTAAGAATTCCCATCCATTTTTAAAACTTCTGCTATTAAACTCATAAATTTTCTCCTTTACATCAAATGTTTGCCATCCCCTCTTAGGGCCAGATGTTTTAAGCTGCTTGCAGCCATGGTCCTGTGAATATTTGCAGGCAAAATGAGGCCTCTTGCTCAGAGTGAGGCTAAAGGTGTTGGCCAGGACAGACCTAGTATCCCAGGTGGCTGTGGGAAGAGTAGAGGTGTCATACAAGATGATTGTGAGGGAAAGCAGGCTGACAAGTAGGCTACAGGAGTGCCTGGAAGCTACATGGAAACAGAAATGAGAATGGCAGAAAGCTGCTTAAGAGCAGCCAGGAAAGAAGGAGAGGGGCAGAGGGCTTGAGATAGGGCATCAAGAGCTGAAATGAACCTGTCTGCTAAAACAAAAGGTGCATGGCTGAGATGGGCTAGGTAGGGCAGGCACTGTGCTCTAGGGTTCGTGTAGGCAGCACTGTGAGGTCTTCCTGGCTCCTGGTCAGTTTGCTGTCCACCAGAACTCCCAGGTCCTTCACTGCAGAGCTCACGTCCTGCCAATTAGAACCCAGTCTGTGTTGTTGCTGAGATTATCCTTCCCCTTACTCAGGAGTTGGTATTTCTCCTTACCAGAGTCTTATCAGTTTATCTAATACCAGTTCTGGGGTCTGAAGGATCCACAACCCAAGAAGGATGTGGATCTGCTGGAGCAAGTCCAGAGGATGTGTGCTGAGCTGATCACAGGGCTGGAGCACCTCTCATATGAAGACAGGCTGGGAGAGTTCAGGGTTGTGCTGCCTGGAGAAAGGGAAGAAGGAAGAAAGGTCCAGTGAGACCTTAGGGCACCAGGACCTAAAGGGAGCCTGCAAGAAAGCTGGGAAGGGACTTTGGGACTTTTTACAAGGGCATGTAGTGATCAAACAAGAGGTGATGACTTGAAGCTGAAAGAGGGTGGATTTAGATTAGATGTCAGGAAGAAATTCTTTACTCTGCGGGTGGTGAAACACTAGAAAGGGCTGCCCAGAGAAGCTGTGGATGTCCCATCTCTGGAAGTGTTCAAGGCCAGGTTGGATGGGGCTTTGAGCAATGCAGTCTAGTGGAAGGTGTCTCTGTCCACAGTACTGGGACTGAAGTTAGATTATCTTTAATGTCCCTTCAAACCCAAACCATTTTATGATACCTGTGCACTTCCATTTGTGTTTACCAGTTTGAAAGAACCATCAGTGGAAAAATAAACACATAATGAAACAAGCTTCTCTGTAAGGACTGGAGAATAAGAAGTGTCACACGAAGTGTGTGAGTGTGTCATCAGCAGGACACCAAACCCTCTCCTGTACATCCCATGAGGTTTTCAGAGAAACAGGGCACAGAGTTGGCTGCAGTACAGTTATTATTCACTGGAAATAAAATCTCCTGAACACAAATTATAGACCATTACTTTTCAATAGATGAAAAAGGTTGATTTTTAATGCAGTTCAATAACTCATTTTATATTTTTAATCAGTTTTGGAAAGCCTTCAATACCTTGACACAGACTGAAGCTTATAAATTTTTTTAATTGTTTTAATGAGAATAATTTGGATAGACCTGTGTGTAGAAAGGTAGCATTTACTCATTTGGGAATTTAATCTTTAGTAGCCAGGTTCATCAGTGTTAATTAGAATCCATACCAAACTTCCTGGTCATTCCAAAATGTAGAGATGATAGCTCGTCATCTCAAGTACAGGTATTTCACATTTTGAACTACTTAGAAATTATATTGCTGTACGTAAAAACCCACTGTATTGGATAAAAGGGAAGAAAATTTTGATACCAGGGTATAGAGGAAAAGAGGCAGGGAAATCAAGTGCCTCTCTTTTTTAAAATGTTCTTGAGTGAAACAATAAGAAAAACCTAGGGTGGAAAATCATGTTCTTTATATCCAAGTTCTGTTTTTGAATTTCATCTCACAGGCTGCATGCTGCCTTTTTATTACATTGAAGAAGCCTCATCTATTGTCCTTTGCTTACTTCTCTTAAGGGTTATGGAGCAAAGAGGTTGTATTCAAGAATGACTCTGAGTCTAATGGTAAAAAGGAAGATCTGCTTTTGTTAAATTCGGAAACACATTTATGTGAAATGTGGGCAAGGTCATCATGAGGACATACTCTTTCTTATTCACTTCACGGAGCACTTACACAACTTCTGCAGCAGAAGAAATGCACCATAGATTAAAGGTTGAGTTTGGGGTTGCTTTTTTTTTTTTTTTTAATTTGGCAGTGTTCTTAGGCAAATTCCTGTTTGCCTGGGTAAGATACTCTCTGCAGTCACTCTCCTTTGAGGGGCTATGTATAGCTATCAGCATCTGGCACACACAGATCTTGAATCTGCAATCTTTTTTTTTGTTTTTTTTGGCCTATTAGCTCTATCCTCACATATTAATGGAAAGCAAAACCACCCCACAACTCTTTCCTCTGCCTGAAAAAACTTCACAATTCAGCCTCAGTGTTGATAATTTGATCCAAGTCAGTCTATTTGAAGAAGATGCATGTATGATAAGCAGTTTCATTCCAGTTTAAAATTGAAGATGTAAGTTCATGTGCTGCTGCATTTCATTTGGGAACAGAAGGTCCAGTGAAAACTAAATAGGGAAGACAGTCATTATCAGTTAATGCTTCCTCTGGAAATATCACATACCTGGATCTATGGGACAGTAGAGGGGAAGCAGT